ACTCACTGGTCTCGAGTCCCACGGAGGAGCTCCGGAAGGATAAAAGGAGGAGTGACGACAGTGTTGGATGAGAGAGGACCAGGTCTGAACTTTATTTTGTGTTTTGTGTGCGGCAGTCTTCCGCGAGGGGCTGCCGCTTTACTTTCGTTTTGTGTTTGTTTATTTTATTAAATAGTTTAAATGTCCGCCGGTTCTCGCCTCCTTCTTCCCGATCTACGAACCTTGTTACATTGGTTTTGTTTTTTTTAACAGTTAAAGAATTTAATAAAATAAACAAACACCAAACGAAAGCAAAGCAGCAGCCCCTCGCGGGCGACTGCCACACACAAAACATAGAAGTGAAGTGAAAATAAAGTTCAGGCCTGGTCCTCTCTCGTCCAACACTGTCGTCACTCCTCCTTTTATCCTTCCGGAGCTCCTCCGTGGGACTATGGTTCCATAAATGTCATTCCTTATGTCTCTTTCTTTAGTGCTAAACTTTAACCCTTTCCTATACCAACTGTATGTGTGTGTGTGTGTATGTTTATGTTAGACCGGCTTAATGTGTTTGTGTAGTATGTTAGACTAGTTTAAGTTTTTATGTAGTTAATAAAACCTTACTTGTATCACACTTGGCGTGTTCATTGTTTACTCATAACCGGAGTCAATAATCATGCAGATTTACGTTACAAACTTATAGAATTGTACAGTAAGAAAGTTATTTCCTTTAACCAGGAAATTAACGTTCTTAGAATTGACAAGACGGTTGACCCTGAGTGGTCAGCTAAATATCTACAGTGGATCTAAAATATTAATAATTAATCATAATTAGTTATGGTTAATTATTCATATTTCCCCATGAGTTAAATTCGCTACATTAGGTACGCAGGAGCTTAACCATTAAGGGCCTTATAGGCAAGTAATATTTTGTAACTGATACGGAACTTAATAGGTAGCCAGTGCAGAGACTGTAAAATAATGTCTCAAATGATGCTCTACTGGGTGTAATTCTAGAAGCATGACATGAAAACAATCTGACCTCTGTCGCATTCTCTTGAAAGCAATAAAGGCTGCGGTGCTGATCCAGCGTTGGTATGCGCTCACATGGAAATGAGACGCAGATACACCTGGAACATCTTCCAGTCCATGGAGTACGCAGACCTACAAGACCAAATCAAAGTAAGAAGTGCATTCTCCACACTATTTTTAACGTAAGAGCAGGTGCGGCCATTTGTTAATTAAATGTGCGAGGCT